GGGGAACCCACTAACTAAAGCTAGAGATACCGCCCTTGAGACCAGGGTTCAAATCCAACTAAAGCCCTTTTTCGTTGTTTTTATTTTAAGTTTAGCTTAGAGCTCATATTTGAGCTAAGGTTATATTAGTGTACTCAAAGTCTTCAAATCTTGGGTTCGCCTCTACACTTGAGTAGAAGAAAAGTTATCTCCTTCATCTGCATATCTTGTCTTCTTTTCTTTACTATATTCTTAATAGTTGGGTGTTTGAATTGACTTAAATGTTGGTCAAACTTACTTTTAAATCAACTTTTGACTTCTGAAAATGTTTGACAAATATAAATATAACTTAAAATAAGTCAAAAATGACTTAAAATAAATTGGAGAAGTTTGGCCAAGTTAAACATAATTTAAAAAGTAAAAAATGACTTAAAAAGGTTAAAAACCAAAATCTACTTTTTATTTTTTAATTTAAATGTCACTTCAATTTGACTTTTTATTTATTAAATTAAAAGATACTCTTTTAAGTCAATCCAAATAAGCTCCTAACTCTGATCAGCTATCAAACGATCCCATTATATAACAAAATCTGAAGTGCAATGATTGAAATGAGATAAGTACATGAGTCGTTGTTTTGTCCTATTAAAATAGAGAAATAAAATAAAATATTTTTTAATAGAGATATGGAGTAAAATAACAATATATTATATGGTTTAGATAAAGGAAAAATTACGCGCATTAACAAATATATATTAGTTAATTAATTAATATTACTATAGTTTACCTTAATTATAATTTGCGATCTACTTTTAATTATAATTATGCGGTTCTGCTTCTAAGTTTTGTATAATTCGGAATTTATATAATATAATTTGTATAACTTTTGTATAATTCGAAATTTGTATAATAATTTGTATAACTGTTTACACTTCTGATGTTTGTAATTGTATAAATTCGTTATTTTGAGTTTATACAAAAATAACTGAATTATATAAATGTATCCGCAAATTTTATAAATATGCGAATTATACATATCCACAAATTATACAAATGAAACAGCTTAAGCTTTAGCTATAGCATGTAGGCTGTAAATATACAAACTATATTTATGAAGCATAATTAAGTTTATTATAATGACTATTTGCGAAAGTTTCCCGATAAATCACGCGGACCATGAGATTGAAAAGATGGTCAATATTGTTTCAGGTTGCAACATTTTAATAGACCAAATTTGGTCTTATATGGTACCAAATCATAAAATTAGTTCAATTGACTAACACATTAATATCATCTAGGGGTGTACAAAATGGAACCAAATCGCAAATCGAAAAATAATTCGAGTAGTGGTTTGGTATTGAAAAAAAAAATCAACTATATTTGGGTTGGTTTGGTTTTAACTAAAAAAAACCAACCCGAGATCAAACCAATCCGACATTATATATGTAATTTTAAAATTTTATTTTATACATAAAAAAATTTATTTTGACTTATACTATTTCATAGTTTTAATCTTTTAATATATTATTTCAAGTTTAAAACTTGGAATTCGGAATGGTCCAATAAAGATTATAGTTCATAGATGTTAGATAATTATAATAAAACTTAAATCAAAATAAATTAATAATAATGCAAAAAGAAAATCAATTCAACACTAAGAATGACAATAATATTGAATATTTGTTCTTTAGTTTTACATTGGTTTAGACAATTAAAATACATAATCTTATTTTATTTTTCCTTAAATATTTAGTAATGTAACTAATACTTATTAAACTTATTTTAGTAGGATTTAGTACTTTTAAATTATGATCATTTTCATTATGACTTTGCAATATTTATTTTATATGATGATTTCATTATTATTTTTTATTGAATATTTTAGTGAATCAGTACTCATCTCATATTTTGTGTTATTTTATTAAGAAACACCTTAGATAATTGTATTTTGGTTGAACTACAGAAATATTTGGAGCACAAGTTAATTATATGTTTGTATGAAAACTTTACCCAAAAAATCCAAAAATCTGAAAAAAAAAAAATCGAGGTTTATTAGTTTGGTTTGATTTATAAATTTAAAAATTTGACACAATGGTTTGGTTTGATATTTGAAAAACTCGAACCAATCCGAGGTTGAAAAACCCGAAAAAATCCGAATTTTATTTGTTTGGATTAGTTTATAGATTAAAAAGTATTACATAAATGGTTTGATTTGATATTTGAAAAACCCGAATCAACCCAGTCATGTACACCCCTAATTATCATCCATGAATAGAATTCTTATGATGGAAAAACATACTGAAGTCTAATTAGAAATGTTTCATATCCCTAAATACTCTTTTTCTCTTTATCTTACTAAAAAAAAGATAGTCCAGATTTTAATTTCTATTTTACTATTAAACTTAAAAAATAAACACGAAAATACAACAGCAAAAAAATGAATAAATAATGGAGAAGGACTATTAATATTTCTTAAACGTTTTTTTTAATGTTGTAAGGCGAATGCTGACATGAATCATGTACCAATAGTCATCTTCTAGCACAATTTATACCCACTAATACATGCACTTAATATTTTATTTTAATAATAAAATGCATATACACCAACATATTCGTATAATAAAAAATCAAAAATTTAGAATGATATCTTCTCAATTTCGTAAATTAAAAGCATAAGAATTTAATCTCACTAATAAAAGCATAACATGAAAATCTCGGCTTAACCTAGTCAATGATGAAGAATATTTAAAAACTATTGAGAAGTTATATTTGTATAGCACATTTTCTACTTTGCACCCCGTAGAATCTTTTAAGAAACTGGACTACTTTGTATTTGCACAAGAATTTTTCAAGAGAGTAAGTTCCTAGTTTATATATATATAATATTTGTATTGAAAAGATGACAACAATTTTATTGATTTGGTTAACAAAGAAGATTTGTTTTTTCAAATGATTTTCTTTTATTAAGAATCTTTACAATATGTTCTTGATTTTTGGTTCCAAAAGCAAATCCTTATTAAATCGAACCTATATGAGATTCAAGTTATATGAAACTGCTTTTTGAGATGATCAGATGCAGCATAAATAATAGTTCAAATAAGTGGGTCAATATCCACAAGATCAATGAACGAATGACCATTGAATCCACAATTGGTCTGCTGAATGCAGTAGCGTCCAGCAGAGCCACTTCAAAGCCCTGACTTGGACAAGTAGAGATGCCCTGTTGTTCCCTCTCCTTATTAACACATTGTAATATGGTCCATCGGCCATCACAATAGCATCTCTTTATTAACACATTATAATATGGTCCGACCATCACAACAACATCTCGAATCCCTAGAGAGAATCTCTTTATTAACACATTGTAATATGGTCCACGGCCATCACAACAACATCTCGAATCCCTAGAGAATATCATAGGAGGATAGCACATCGGATAGCACCTCGGGACACGCCTCTTCGAGAATGTGCTTTATCATCTGAATAAGATGAAGCCCCTCATCAAGCTCAACCAACTTATAAGCATCATAATCCCTAGAAGAAAATCTTGGATAAGAATCATGAGAAGCTGTCCTGCTGCATTGTGTTGATAACCCCTAAAAGACAATCGTGGATAGGAATCCTGAGAAGCTGTCCTGCTACATTGTGTTGATTGAATACTATCATCAGCATTCCACCATGCAATATCATTTACATCAGAGCAATCATCGTCGTAATTCCATCTGAAAGGCATTGTAGACGCGTCATCAATTGGTTGGGCCATGACGCCCACGACTCTGACGGCTATGAATATGACTCCGGCGGAGAACGCCCAATTCATTGTTCCCTTAATTTTCCAAGTACATAATAATTAATGATGAAGCACAAGAAGTTGAAAAAAATGATTTAATCAAATTCGTTACTTTTAAAAGAAAAATATAGAAGCGAATGATTTTGAATATTTAAGTACTCTCCAATAAATCCCCCAATAATGATTTCGCTGTTATTTGTTTGGTTTTGTTAGAATTTCTTGAATTAAAAAGGATAGAATAATATTTGTTATTGATAATAAATTCTTAGGTTCATATTCATTATTGTTCTAAAAATTATGCAATATACCAATAATTCATTTCAAATAATAATTTTCTTCCAGTCTTACTATCTTAAATTGTGATTTTAAATTTTTTAATAAATCAAACGGTCAAATCTTATTTTTCATAAATCAATTTAAGGTTTAAAGTCAAACTTCTAGTATTGCCCTTTTTTTTTTTTTTTTTCATACTTATTATTTATAGCCTAGATTTTTTATTAAACATAAATCTTCTCACTGAGATGTTTGTCATATGTTTGTGATTTATTACTTTAAGATGTTGTGAAAAACATTATTTACTAGTATGAAAATTTGAATAGTTTAATTGGAAGTCCTAAAATATTTATGTCTCTTTCTTTTCTTTTCAATTTTTTTATGAAATTCAATATTTTTCGAACACAAATACTACGCGCCATTTAAACTTGACATAAAAATTCATTTTAACATTTTATCTTCTTCATCACAACAAAAAGAAATTCATGCTTTCCTATTAAAAGTTTCTCACTTTTTCTTCTCTAATCCGGCCGAAAAAAGATTAACTAAACAACATTTTTTTGGTTTTTAATTGGTCATTAAGTGTTTTATTTCGAAGTTTAATTGTGTATTTTAATTGTATAATTGCCTCATTTTTTTACCTTTTACCGGAGATTTGTCCCAGTAGGTGGAATGAGAGTATTTCTTACTAAGTTTAGACATAATACATAAACATGACCCATAACTTGGCGTCAACTGACAACTATGACCTTTAACTTTGGATGTGCACAAGTAGACACTTTTACTTGTATAAAATTAAACAAATAGACACATTCATCCTACGTGAGAAACATATTTTACGCGCATAAAATGAAAAAGATATGGTGTATTTGAACAAGAAACCCATTACAATTTTTTTTCATTTTACGCGCTCAATCTATATAAGTGAGAAACATATTTCGTTTCACATCAGGTAGGAGTGTTGAATAGACACAATTTGTTGCAATATTAGGTGTTCAATAGGTACAAAGCAAATGTTAGGTGTTACAATGAAAGTTCATGTAAAGTTTGAGTGGCCGTATATGTATTTGGCCAATAATAAAGTCGACTATGAAATATTTTTGGAGGCCTAAAGCGAAGGCTTTTACTAGTCTCTCCTTTGAGTCACCCTTGGCAAATGCTCCATGCATCAGACATATCTGGCAATTACTAATCTTACACTTCTCAGTCATAACAAAAAAGGTTATTATCCTTGCTTACTGGCTATTGCTGAAGTTTCCCTCCCTGCTTCGGCTTTCTATCAATCTCCTCCATGCCATCTTTCCGCAATGTACCAAGGTCACAATTGCTACACAATAGAGAAGTGGAATGCCAATCATGCAGCCTCCAAATGCAAGATTCGTCAGTGTCTGAAAACAAACCAGAGATCATAAATCGTAATTTAATCAAAAAATGCACTCACATCGCTCAAGTTTTTCATCAATATAGTAAATCTACAAAGGGAAGCATAATTATTAAACTCGATCAACTGTACTACATTAAATGAAATCAGCAAGTGACATTGAATAGTATGGTCAAGTCATTGATTTCAAGGAAATAAGAAGAAATGGACCTCTTTTGGAGATCCTGTACTATAGATATTCGCACATGAAAAATGTAGAAGCTACAACTCTCAGTAACCAAGAATGTAAGCAACTTGTTATGATTGACTTTGTACATTTTAATCCGAAATAATTCAGAAGCCACACCAAATGCTAGAACTATCTGCTTCTATATTGATCTCATGCTAGAGTCCTCTAAACAGTTAGCAGATCTATTTAGGAAAGTTTCGGTTACCAGATCCGCAGTATCATTCAGTTTAGTAGTTGGTTTTCTCGACAGGTTTAGTGTGCACTCTTCAAGTATGCATACACAATCATGTGGAAACTTACCAACATTCCAGCAATTAAGTGAACAACAGGAGCAAAACACTGGTCCACTTTGTTTCCTTCTTCATATCCACTGAACGCAATAACCATGGAGAAAGTGTGAATGGTAGCAAAGGCAAGGGCTATAATTGCTGCAATTTAAAATGCCAAATAGCGTTAAGACTGCATAAATATGGAGGTAGTAAGCAATACTATGGCAACATGCACTATACTTTACACTATTTTTCTAAGTTAAACCATAGTTGCAGGCTTGCAGCCCTAAGAAAAGGGAACCCAAAACTTTAGGTAAGCTCGTTATCACACATACTTCATCCCTACTTGTTTTTATCTCTGTAGGCTTTTATATCTCAACTTAGGCCATCAAGCAGCTCTAGGCTTCTCTATCCCAATATAGTGTATTGAGTCACTGACTTTTCTCTTGATCGACCCTTCAGCCTATTCTCTCACTATCTCCCTACTCCATTTCCACTCTCTAGCCTGTTGAGCCTACTCTCTCTTTTTCTCTATGCTCCAGGCCCACTCTTCAACTTGTTGAGACTACTCTTTCTCTACTACAAACCCACTCCTTAATCTACTTAAAAAAGAATATGAAATAAAAAAATGTTAAAGTCCACGTGTATGTTCCAGAATCGGGTTACACGTGTGTGTGGGGTTAAAGATTACAATTGTCCCTCATTAGTTGTGTAAGGATATCCAAAGAAGTTTATAATGGTCCTAAGTTACTCCATTCACTGATTTAAACTTTGGTTCTCAAGATCTTTCAAATATAGAAAGTTTGCTGAAGATCAATAATACTCAGAAGCTGTTTCCAAAATAATAAAAGAGGAACTCAGAAATAGCAGATTTCCCTTACCAGAAACAAGAAAAAAGGGTATCTTTGAGCATTTCTCTACATAGTATGTTGCTGGTCCAAATGCAGGTGTCAAAAGGCCAAGGCAGAAAAACACAGCATGAGCCACACCATGTCCCAAACCCCCAGCTGCATGTCAACACATATCAGATATTAGTGTCAGATCAACAAAAAGAATATCAGAAACTACACTAGATATCTAATAGCAGAAAGGTAGTTTGCCTTCACCATAAATGGAAAGATCAAAATAATATTCAGAAGTTGAAACAACTTGGAGCTGGAAAGGGGTACAAACAGTAATAGTACCCCAGATTAAGCAGCCACAAGCAATTAACATCACGGTGCACAGCACGGTTTTCGACATCTGGGCGGATTCAGAATCATAATGAATAACAATGACCCTTAAAAATGCTTATTCTAATTAATGGAACATCTATTGACAGTTTAAACGGCAAAGAGGGTTGTTTATATAGAGAAAACTGCAGGGTAGTTTGTAAAGATAACTCCTTTATCTTTTTATTTTCATACTCCAATACTTGGTACCATCTAGTAGAGGTAGCTCATATAACAGTCAGATTAGCAACATCTAAACCTTCAGAAAAAAAGAAAGAGCAGTTAAAACTTAAACCTCACAGTCATCCAACCTCTAAAAGCTAACCTTTTCCATCCCAAACTCATTGAACGTGCCTTTCCTCAATCAATAACCCAATCCCTTACTGTCCTCCTTCAACTTTCAACTCCTTTCTAACTGACAGTCTATCGGTCCATTTTACACTTGGTTAAATGAAACCAGCACATCAATATAAGCTACTAAGTCCCGCCTTTGCCTGCCTATCTCTAAACAGAACTTCAATTGCATCAGTCCAATAGAGAGAGTGCAACTAACAGCATCTTCAAGTTTTCTATGGTCAGACGTGCTTTCATGATATTATTAGAATCCTTTTATCAGTATAACATCAGAAACCATCAAGATGATTTGTTATTAGGAAATTATTCTTAACTTGTCAATCAATTAGACCTAAAAGTTGCATAAGTGATGCATCAGTTATCAGCAAGTTCCTTTTTAGCTTCCGTTAAATATGCTGAGGTTTTTCCTGTTCAATTCTGTTTCCACTGGAGAAGATCAATTAGTTAAGTGCAGAGCTGAAAAGAGGGTTTAGAAGTTGTATGGTGCTATGGTATCTTCAGTTTTATGATATCAACAATATCATTTTTAATGTTAAAATATGTCGCCAACAGTGAACTCTTAGAAGCAGCCAATGAATAATATGCAATAGCAGCTCCAATGGTTGTAGATAGCCCTGGAACTGGAAGTATCTATGTTCTCTCTACTATCTCATCTCCTCTTCTATTGTTTTTGATCTAAGAATTGCTGTCTTGTTAGACCAATTTTTTGTCCTTTTAGTCTCTCACATTCTCTCTCTCTCTCTCTCTCTCTATATATATATATATATTGTCCACACTTCGGTGCAAGCTTGCTGCGCTGTTGCATGCTCTGAAACTAAAATGTAACATGTTTTGCAACAAAAAGGTACACCCTCAATGGGTAGGTGAGCTGCTTCCACTTTGTTATTTTCACGCTTATTGGGTTGGGTTAAGGCTAGGCCCTAGGGGTTTTCAGGTCATTGTGGCAAGTCTTCCACACTCATTTTTCCTAGCCTCCACATTAAGGTACCTTAGTGAAAAAAGAAAACTATAACACATAAAATTCTAGGGAGATAGAAAAGTATCAAAACTAAATTCTAGAATTTAAAAGACATGTAGCGAAAATGTTCGGTATTCTACCAAGAGCAATTTGCATCTTGTCCGTCATAAAGAGGCGAGGTTTAGAGACTCTGTCAGCAAATGCATCCAATATATCCTCCAGCTTCCTGACATAACACAAACATGGAATACAAAGTTAAGGGTAAATTCTACATATAGAGTAGGATAAAGGAACTGGAATTCATAAAAGTTTTTCCCAACAAATTTTAACCAATCTTTTGAGGTAACAGTTATAACCAAGCAAAATCAGCAACAAATTTTCAAATGAAAAATATAAACCATGTCAAGCAATGATGCAACAAATAGAGGAGCTCTACTGAAGAAGAAAAAGGCAAATGAAGAGAGGGAATGAGCAGAAGGATAGATTTCTTATTGAGGTCTAATCCGGGTAAATATAAGCAGATAGGATATTCTACCAACTTTTTATTAGAAAAATAAGTTTCACAATATATCTGATAAATAAATTTGCATGCCTCATATACTAGTTTTCGTAACCACGCATCATTGCCAACATGGAAAGCACGGCCATATATCTTAGACAAAAGGGTCGGCAGGGTATCAAATAAGTGGCTATACACCAAGTCAGCATAGTATAGCAAGGAAACATGGACTATACGCTACTCCTGAAAAGGATGTTTTCATCTTAATAAAGATATGTTTATTCATTTCTGCATGTAATTTACTTCATTTGGCTTCAACATATTTTTTACTCAAGCAGTTCCATGTGATACTATGTTAGTTGAAATAAGAGAATTGGCTCTATATGTCAAAGGCTACTTCATATGATTATCAAAGTAATGATATATCTCATCTTGGCTTTCTTTGTGTGGTCAATTGACGCAATTGCCTGCAAGTATCTACAATCATTTAGTAGCAAAACACAAGCTCTGGTGGGGATAAATAATGCCTCTTATTCGGAGATCATCACGTTTATGACATTTTGCACAGGAAATTATATGAGTTTAATACGTACACAAGTCGGCCCTTCACGTTTTCATAGTATAATCTAGAGAGCGCCGCTTTGATGACCTCTTGCAATGGAAATTATACGAGTTTAATACCTATGTGAGTCCTTCACATTTTCAAAACATGATTTGGAGCGAGCCACTTTGATGATTTATTTCACTGGAAATTATATGAGTTCAATACATATGTAAATCCTTCACATTTTATAGCATATCAATCATGTGGATACTTCGGGAAAAAAATCATGTGTATGAAACTCCAAAAGTTTTTGGGGAATCTACAAGTAATTCAAACAGCATAAGGTCAAGTTATCTATCTTCTATTTTGCACTTCTACTCTTCAACAAATTTTCTGCAAATAAACTAATTGGTTATAGTGATATGTATATCACCTATGAATTTCACTCAGTTACAACTCTTTTAACAAATGCAGACAGCAAAGTGTACACAAGACATTAGTTGTAGGCCGACTTACTTGTAAACTTTCCAGAAGAGAATACGAAGTCCTTCTTGGAAACCAACAGAAGTGAGTATGAGGATAGCATACGGCCACCATGCTGTGCTTTTCAGTGGAAGGAAAGCCCTCCAAAGTGCTGACATTACTATCAGACTCATAAGCCATACCAATGTACTACCAAAGTAGAAAGAAAGAAAAAATTATTCACATGGAACAATCAGAAGTTAACAATACTAGTATATGGAAATCTGCTAACCCCCATCACAAACCAAACCACGATTGACAAACACCAAGCTGATTACAGCAGAAAAAAACATCATATATGATGAAAATATAACAACAGCAGTAGTTCATGTAGTCACCCATAGTAAAGTGATTGAGCAACAAAGGGATTTCTATTATAATCAAATGAACAAAGAATGATAACTATATGTCAGCACTTACCCTAAACCAATCAAATCCAACAACAACATACCCACAAGTGGGGTATGGAGAGGGTAGTGTGTACACAGCCTTGCCCCTACCTTTTGAAAGTAGAAAGACTGTTTCCGATATCCAATCACACCCAGTAGCCAAAAAAACACAATCTTTAAGTAATAAATGACAACAGTATGTCCCCATTTACAATGACCAAGTCACACCCATGAAAGAAAAAAAACCCACCAAACTTGCCACAAATAAATGAACTATTTAACACCCAATCCGTCAATAACTGTAATCAGATTACAAGGATATTTTGTGAATTTGAAGAAATTTTCAAAAAAGTAACCCTGAATTGGAAGTTTACCTTGAAAGAAGTGTGAGAATCAAGAAGGGTTTTTTTGAGATAAGAGCGATGAAGAGTGAGAGAGAAGGGCCAAGGGCTAACAAAGCGTATCCAATTCCTGCTGCCACTGTCATGGCTTTAGCTGCTTCCTTACTCCGGACCAACTTTGGAAATCAAACCAGAAGAAAATTACTTGCCAACAAAGGGACTGGACACTTTGAAAAAGAAACTTTGAGGGGTCAATGTTTCGAAATTTCTAAAACAAGAATGTTAATTCCTAAATAAAATTAAGTATTAATCTATCATTTTTAAAATAAGATCTTTTTTAGAAAAAATACTTCAAACTATTAATCTATCAAATGGATATACTAAGGACCAAAACAATACAACCTCATCATTTTTTCCTAATTCATATATGAATTTATACCAGTACAGTCATATTTTAGAGCTATATTTATTATTCATTTAGTATTTTATTTTAGTTTCCTTTTTAATTAGTTCAAAAAATAATAATTTCAACTTTACATATAACAAACTACAAGATTAAGGGAACATTTAACATTACCATATTAAAAAAAAAAAATATTATTTACTTTTATTAATGTGTCAAAATCAGATTAAAAAATTGAACAAGAAGATATTTCTTTGGCTCCTAACTTCCTATTATATGTCACAATTTAATAATTCACGTTCCTTAAAAAATTAGATAATTTTATCATTATATCTTCTTCTTTTTTTAGTATTCTCTTGAAGTCAAATTTTAAATAAATGAACATAAATTAATTAAGTTTGATCAATTAACATGAATTAATTATTTAGTTTTTCGATGTTGATGAAATTCATATTTAAAAAGCTTAAGATAAAATATAAAAAATAATGTTATTTATGTATTGATTTTATGTATTTAGCATTGAGCTTCTTATTTTTTCTTTTCAATTTTTGGAGCAGGTCCAAGAATCAAGAAAAGAAACTATGGTTTGGCTTTAATCAAAATGCCCCTCTTTCTTTTGAGAAACACTGCGCTTCTTCCCTCAATCCCACTTGGAATTCAAACCATTTCCTCCGCCAAAATGCGAAGAACACGAAGTTCCCTCAACCAAGAAACTCCTTCCCAGAAAAACCCAGGTCAGCCAAACAATAAAGAATCCATTTTTTTTCCAAAGTATATTATAATAACCTTTTGAGTTAGTACTTCTTTAAAGCTGTTGCACGTATGCATTGAGTAATAAAAGGGGTAACTTTTTTGAGGGGTAGGGGAGATTTCACCTATTGTTGGAAAATTTCAGTAATATTGAAGTTTTTTTGATGTTCAGGTTGTGATGGCTCAGGGGGAAGCTCCGTTCCTGAACTTCGTGTTTTCATCCGAAAAAAGAGAGTTAAAAAGACTGTGGAAGTCATAGCCAAGGAGGTCAAGGAAGAATCTTCTGGCAAAAAAGTATGGTACTACTACGTTTTTATTGCTTTTGGATTGAAATGGTTGTATTTAAAAGAATTAACCTAAATAGGCGTCCATAATACATGCATAATACGTTTATAAGTCTGTAAGATATGTATACCGTCTAGAAAAAATAAACAGTAAATGTGCCCGGCCCGGCTATTTGTGTGAAGATCCCTTGTATTTAAGTGTTTCAGAACTGGTAGTGCATCTAACTGATTAAAATTTTAACCATTTCAAGATACTTCTTTGCTTTGATCATTTGAGTTATTTAAGGTAATTTGATCATTTGGCTTTTCAGTGACACAAAAGGAAAGAGAACTTTCTGATCTTTTTTTTTTGGCTTTTGCAGCTTGTTAAACTGCCTGAGATAGAGGATTTTTCCTATTCGAAGGAAGCTACACATTCCCAGTCAAGTAAGTCTCAAGTCTTTATTTTGACTCCATAACTATTCATATCACCATCAATACATTGACAATTATTTGCCTAGATGTCCCTAATCAAGAGAACAAGATTACTTGCCAAGCAGACAAGGGCAATGACCACACAGATCTTGTTAATTTAACTTGCTGCTTGTATCCTTGTTCCTGGAAAGCAACACCTTTTACCTTGTTAAGCTTGATTATTGTTGGACTTCATATTCTTGCCTACCCCATGCTATGGGTACTGGTACAATAAATTTGACAATCAGTGCTATAGTTTTTGATGAAATGAATGAATGCGATTGGATCAAAACTTTTGCATGATTAGATAAAGTTTGAACATGATTTTGTACAAGTTTTTATCCAAGCTCAAGACGCTAAAAACATACAACTTTACCAAGAACATCTATTAGATAAAGTGATTGTCCAAAAAATGGAAAAATACAGAATATCCAAGTTCTGTAGTTATCTAGTGCTAAAAAAAATGTTAGTGTGTGTACTTGTTTATTGACTCGAAGAAATCAAGATTGAGTTAATGAGACCCAAAAAATTGCATGACTTGACTTGAACTAACTCTTGAAAGTTAACAAGGATAAGTAAGAAACGATATCAATACAGCAAAAGTGATCGGAGATGACTAATTGAAGTAAGTATATGCGATGGAGTCCTTATAACCCATCAGATATCTTTATTTTTACATAGAAGCTGTTGTCATGAGTAACATGACTAAGCACTTTGACTTCCTTGTGTATTAACCAAGGTGATATGAAAGGAAGGGAAAAGCATATGAGTAAGGCATGTAAAAACTATGTTGTGTAGAGAGAGGAAGTACACGACCCATTATTTGCTAATCGTTTTATCAAAGGCATATTAGTAATTGAAGATCTATATCTGTGGCTTTTCAATGGCACATCAAATGTCATGACAGCCTTAAAAGTACTGATAATTTGTTGACTAACTAATTTCTAAGATATAAAATATGTGCAGGCCTACTTAGAAAAAGAAAAATAAGTGTTGAAAGTATAAGAACTTGTTTTGTCAGCAAGTGAAAAAGGCCTTCTTTTTGTATGATAGGGAGAGAAAGAAGGTAGAATTTTCTATGTTATTGCCATTTCTCTTACATGTTTTTAATGATGCTTGAGTGGTATAGAACTCTGTCACAAGTACAAGCTTTCAGTCACCTCTGCAGCTCTGCTATTTTATGTTCCTGTCCATCAGCATTTGGACTTTCCTAATTTTCTTGTTTTTCATCTGTGTGCCAATCATTCTTTACTTTGTGCAGCACCTTCCAAATCCGTGCGTTTGACAGGAGAAAAAGCTCTATCCCAGTTGACGCAAACAGGTAAATGAGGTGGTAATGTGAATATGCACTAAAAGAAAAGGAAAAAACTTGTCCCCTAAGGATAAGTATTTAACCTGCGAGATATCTTTTTTCTACTTAATTAAAGGTTCAAAAGATCGTACTAGTCTATTTCAAATCTGAAAAGGAGAACCTCCTCAAATCTTCTTTCCTTCATGTCACTGCAGAGTGTTTTTTCCGGATGTAATAAACCTCCATCTCTAGGATAATTTTTTTTTAACAGATCTTACCTCTAACCTAATATCACATGTACAAACTATAATCCTGAAAATAATCAACATTTCTTGAAAGATAACTCACAAAGAAAACCCAACTAGACATGTATATAGATTCTCCAAATGGCTGTTTGGTAGATCAAAAGCTTAAGTCTGGATAGTTAAAACCGTGAAACTATTTCTCTGCCAACTAGCTTGACAAATCTACTGGTCAATGGCTATAACTTTCAGTGGAAGAGTCCAATTCATAGGATAAACAATATATGTCATTCATTGGTTTCATTACTTCAATTATTCAGATTTGAAGTCATCAATTTACACATTGAATAGAAATATGTAGCATGAGGATGTAAATTTTTCTTTGATAATGTATGATTTTAATTTTATACTACCAAAGTGAATGAAGAAGAAAAAGGAAAGAGTTCTTTGCTTCAGTTTATCTTTCTAGACACTCTTAGGTGACAAGGGAATTAGCCTTAGTCTTGAATTAATGAGATTTTTGTTGATGCTTTAATAGAATTCTGTCTATCTTTTTAAAATTTTCTAACATGTTATATTTATCAGCACCCCAAAAAAGGGCAGTTACATCATACCTACAAATACAGCCCCTGTCTAAAACAGTCGTTAAGGTCATTCACTCGATTCCTTGCTGTCCGTTAAAAAACTTACAAAGAGGCCAAAAAGTCTAGTAATGACTCTTGCACCAAAAATAAAAAAGAGAAATGCAAGAACTCTTGATCTTCTGGATTGAACTGCTCCTGCCTTCAAAACATCTTGCATTCTTCTCTTTCCAAATTTTCTACCATATGCAAGCTGGAACAATCTTCCGCCACTCTTTGTGAGCAAAAGAGTTCTGTTTATTATTTTGCTATGGTTTGCTAATACCGAGGTTTCTTTTTGGTTTATATCTTACCATTGTTAGTTTGAAATAAATAGGAGTTGAAGCACCTTTGTGTGCAACTTTATGTTATGTTGATCCAATGGGCACTTTGTCTTGCTTAAACATATCACTAAGCCAAGGTCTGTTGATGGACAGAAATTAAAGGCTTCAGTCTATCTGATCCACTACAGCCACCTTTGAACTGGGAAAAAGTCCTTGAAGGAATCCGCAAGATGAGATCCGCAGAAGATGCACCTGTAGACTCCATGGGTTGTGAGAAAGCTGGGAGTTCACTTCCTGCCAAGGTGATAATTTTTTTGCACTAATTGAACACAAAAGCATATTATTGAGCCTTTCTTTCATGTGAAAAGGACATGGAAAAGAGTAAAAATGAAGTTACATCAGAAAGGATAAATTTGAGCCTTTCTTTCATGTGACATTAGCAACCTCTGGCCTCCTTTTGACTAACTACTTACAGAACTTCATGGGTCACATATACCATGGAACTAAATTCAAGGAGTATAGTCAGTAGTGTATCTCCCTAAGCAGGGAGGTGCTTAATTTCAGCAATCTAGAGGATTATCCATGTTTATTACCCCATAAAAGGAACTATTTAACTCTGGAAAAGGACAGGCAAAAACATTTGTGGTGAAAAAAGCTCGGCAAAAGATACAATTGATGGATGTTATTTTTTTTATCTTGTCATTAAGGTTAGGTATTCAACTAATATCCTACTAATTCAGTGTTGCCTAGTTTGGGAAGTTATTATAATCAATCTATTTTTCAGTTGAAGATGCTTATGTGTTTTTGACAATTAATTCTTCTAGTTGTTGATCGTGAATGGGTATTTCATCCATTCAAGTTTGATAGATTGTATTCCTTGCTGACCCTTTGGTGGAGAACTCTTGAATTATTGATGACTTCTGGATGCTCCATCTTGACTTTGTTGCTAATTTTGACACTTCATGTTTTTATCAGGAAAGAAGATTTGCAGTCCTTGTATCATCACTCTTGTCAAGCCAGACCAAAGATCAAGTTAATCATGGCAAGTTCTGAAGTTGCTAATCTTCTAATTTGAAATATCTCTTACTGATTTGTTCTCAACTTTTTGTATAATTTGCTTTGCTTTTCAACTCGAGGTTGCTAATCCTAATTATATTGTGCCTAACATTTCAACTTGATTCTGTCTAAGATACTTCGTTTTCTACTGATTACTATATCTTAAAATTCAAAATTTGGTCGTTGTCATTGTCCTCAAAATTTTAACATTCCTGCCTTTCCTTTTTGCATTTTTATTTGAAGAGCCTCGTTTTATGCCCTGGTTATTAGCATAAAAGCTTTGCTGATATCCCCGTGACCTTGTACGGTGATTTTTCTATCAAATGCTCATTTGTAACTTGAGAACTTTTGAAACTCATGTCCAAAAACGAATACATGATTTTTGAGTTGAAAGTGCTAAATTGTTGTGTGTTCTCATTACTACATCATGTTTTGGTAGAACTAAGGCCCCGGTTCCAATAATCTGGAATACATCCAGGCATGGAATGCTGTTATTTTACTTTCATTCATTGAGGACTTATTATCAACAGGAGCTATCCAGCGTCTCCTTCAAAATGGCTTGCTTGCTGCAGATGCCATTGACTCAGCAAATGAAGAAACAATCAAGAGTTTGATATATCCAGTATGCCTTCTTGTATGCCAATTACTTGTATACTATAATGTTTTTGTTAGACCTAGATCAGCTGAAATGCAAAAAACAATTAAGAACATTAAAGCACTGTCCTTTGATCAACATGTTTGAGAGTTTTCTGAACATTGATTGTTTATGTATGCACACCGTTTCCCTTTCAGGTGGGGTTTTACACGCGAAAGGCTAGCAACCTGAAAAAAGTAGCAAAAATTTGTCTATCAAAATACAATGGGGACATCCCTAGTTCTCTGGAAGAATTGCTTCTGCTCCCAGGAATTGGTCCCAAGATGGCTCATCTAGTAAGGAAGTTGTGTTTTTCTCTATTTCCTTGTCATTTTCACTTGTAAACTAGTTCGATGTATATTCCTTTAGGTTATGAATGTTGCATGGGAAAACGTCCAAGGGATATGTGTAGATACTCATGTGCATCGTATTTCTAATCGGCTTGGATGGGTATCACGTCCTGGAACTAAGCAGGTATTCTTGATTTCCATCTGACAATGAGGCTACAATAATGTGGTGTCAGGAGTGTGTGATTCTCATATAATTAGATGCTATTGTTTTCCAATTTTAACTAAATTCATATTTGTTGACAAAAGCAAAAATATATGGAGGTCCTTGGTAAAAAAAAGAAAATAGAAGCAACTCTAAACTTCTGCCTTGATTTAGCTTTCAAATAATTATGGGTTACCTTCATAATAGCAAACTTATGGTGTGGAGTTTGAGCCGAGGGTCTATCGGAAACAACCTCTCTATCTGACAAAGGTAGGGGTAAGGTCTTAGTACATCCTACCCTCCTAGATCCCCACTTGTTGGATTACACTGGGTATGTTGTTGTTTTGTTTGAGCACTCCATTAACCATTTTGGGTAATAGTATTTGTGGCACGAAAACATATTTAGGCCTAGTGTAGGAATTAAATATATTTGAAAAACAGTTGCAGTATCTAAGGATCTATAAATTCTCTAATTATGTTCAATTTCTTACTTTGTTCTTGTTAGAAAACGAGAACCCCTGAGGAGACTAGGGAGTCCTTGCAACTTTGGCTTCCAAAGGAAGAATGGGTGCCAATCAATCCTCTCTTGGTATGTCTCTCATCTATTTTTCCTGCATGCGTAATTTATAGCTACTTGTATTCAAAACTGGTAGGAGATTCTAGAATGGTTCTTTTCATCTTATCTTAGCGAGAGCCATCCATAATCTGCAAAAAGCATTATGCATGAATTCTGCAGTGTCTGATCATCATATGTAGTTAAAGAATTCATCAACGTGGATGCACATTATGAATTCTTTGGTGGGGAAAAAAACAAGGCTGCTGCTCATAAGCCATAGAACGACGTATCTGACAAGGGAACTTATCTCAAAAGTTCAAAAGGCTGAACATATTTACTTGAATTGATTCCACGCTGGTGCAATGTTGAGAAACTGACCATCTCAAGAATCTCTTCTTTCTTGAAACTTTTCACCATCTGAATCAAGAAGAATATTTAGATGGTTGCGCCAGAGCACACAATTAGCTTTCCACAAATTAAATTGTTTCTGTTTTTATGTTCCTTGTGAATCACTTTTTGTTTTTATTGCTTAGTTTACTTGGTTTCATTGATCATGCAAACAGGTTGGGTTTGGTCAGACCATTTGTACTCCTTTGAGACCACGTTGTGCAATCTGTACAGTAAGTGATCTCTGCCCATCCGCATTCAAAGAGGCAGCAAGCCCATCTTCCACCCCCAAAAAGTGACGTTTGATGGAATTTCAACCAAGTTTTGCAGTGAGGGCACAATTCTCTCAGTCATTTCTAACATAACATTGCCATTTTTGACTTGAGCGATAGACAAATTTTGTGCTCTCAGCTCATATTTTGTATCATCCATATAAACGTCCATGGTTTTTCTTCTTTTTTGATTGGCTCAAAATCGTTTGTGGGAGGATGTGGATAAGTTGAAAACTGGGGAAGTACATATTGTAAAATTAAGTAGTTCCATTTTGTACAGTTTACTTCACTGTCCGGCAATCTGGAGGGAGTAAGATCATGTTTTGGTTTGATATCAAGGGAAAGTTCTTCCAAGCTATCAATATTTTGTATTGATGCTATTTGCTGCATTCTTCCACCCTTCTTCAAATTTTCACTTTTTATTTTATTTTGATGAAGATGGAGAATAGTACTCTTATTTCACACTAATGTTTGCGTCATAAAAGAACTAAAATTTTCAAGATCTAACTCGACATGGAAAGTATAGTAGTATATCACACATGTTACCAGCCTTCCTCCAGAGTATAAAAAGTCACCAAAAATATCAATTAGCCATGCATCCAAATCCAAACTTACAAAACATAGCAGGGCAAAAACTCAAGGCAGTACAAAAGGTCATCGACAGTGACCTCTTTTGAGAAGCACAATGTTGCCAATAACAATTTTTTCAGTTCTTCGTGATATTCAGTCATTTCCCAGTACATGTGCCTGAAGGATCACCTTAAATGCAAGTATATGTATATTCGTACAATATTCTCACAAGTCATCCTTGCATACTCAAATTAGCCAACCTATCTGCATTCTGACTCTGAGCTGATTGAACCCGAACCATGCTTTTGCGCCAATTCCAATATTTTACTCTCATTGGATCAGCATGTTCCAAGATGGAACATATTTTCTTTGTCAGTGCTAAATCTGGTGAGCATGACTGTGGAGTAAGAACATCTACGGCACTTTTCAATTCTTGGCTCGGTTCAAAACCATGACAAAGAAGATCCAACAAGAAGCTCAGAGCATGCACGTGACTATTTTGGGAGGTTAAGACGTCCAAAAGTACTGATGCTACTTGAGAATCCTGAACTAGAGATTGTGTATCATTCTTGAAAAGACCACGAAGATACCTCCAAGGACTTTCATTCTCTGGACTAGCTCTGATGGTTTGAACTGTGTAATTCACTTCCAATTCCCTCATTGCCACTAGGCCCCCTAGTAGAGGTGATCGTGTTATGACAAAGTATCTCTACAAGAAACAAAGTAAAGTTAGGAGCTACACTTTCCTTCACAAAGGAGTTTTACCCTTTTGATAATTTAAAGCAGCAAGCATAAAACATTATTTTATGAAACAAGCATAAAACATTTGTTAAAGTCAGCTCATTGAAAATCTCAGAGAATGCTTTTAAAATAATTATAATTAAAAGAAAAAAGAATGAAACTTTTGCAGGTAATGGTTTCTCAAGAGTAAAATGAGAGTGAACAGTCAAACAAGGTAATGAGTCTCACGCATACTTGTTTATGCATTGTCCATTAGCAAATTAACTCGAAGGAGGTTATTTGCAAATATGGAGACTCATGTGTCAACCCCATAAAAGTCCTTTCTCATTACAATTTCAGGGGTTTGGGGGAAGTGAAGAAGTTAAAGTTTTATGGAAGAATATTATGCATCCAATTCTGTGCTCTATTTGGCTTGTGGGTATCACAAGTATTCCAAAACGGAACACGGCATCTAGATTTCTGGGCATCTTATTAGTTTTCTGGCATAGTTTTAACAAGGAAGGGATTGGCAGATGCTTCTTGTTTAAAGATCTCTTTGTTTATACCTTCTGATTCTATCAGCTGACGACATCTTATCACTCTCTGTAACCTCATTTACCATCAAAAGAATCATTTCTTCTCATTAAAAATTTCAATCATTACCTGATTCCAAGCAGAATTATTGTAAATATCATCATCAAGGAGTTTTTGACAATATGCAAGCTCCTCTTCCCATCCGCCAAGTGCTTGAAGGACCCACTGCATAAATAGGAAAAAAGATCAGTATTCTGGTTTGCCAATGAAATAAAGAAGCAAATACTAGTCCACATGATCCAGTATCATCTCTTGCAGGTACCAGATTAGATCACTGAGCTGTAAGATTCTCCCAAGAATAGATAGAGCTAATTACTCCCAGTGTCTTTCTGACTTTTGTCGTCTTGGTTTGACTGGAAATGGACTTTGAGTATATTGGAAATTGTTTAGTAACTGAAGAAGCAAGCCCACAAGTGGAGATTAAGTACAATTTTGACGGATACATCCCTATTGTTTATGCTTTTATAGGTGTTGTTGTTAAGGGCTCATGTAACGTGCTTAAACAATGAGCTATGTACAGCGCAGGCCTAACTGCTTCATCTCGTTTAAGTGACACTATAATGCAAGCACCAAGGCAGCCACCTCTGGCTCTTGAAGATAGTGACACTGCTCAATATATATAGCTGGCAAACTGATATGCTAATTGTCAAAGCAACGACAGTGATTTGGTAAGTAACTCGGAAAAGGAAATAAAGATTTTTTTTCTATTTTTGATAACAATGGTGTTTGGACCAGGTTGCACACAGCATGACAATTCCATTGGGGTACCTGCTACCTCCCACCAACAAAGGTATTTGTACCTGAGAACTGTATCACCAAGGTTTAGGCCACACCTTGGGTAAACGAAATAAGGAACTTAACACAAGAAAACTAGTTCTACTCCCAAATCAAAAACTTAAAACTGTATTTTTGCATCTGAAACAGAAAAATTAAATGAATATTGAAATTGATTTAATTACTTAATATATTTTATTCAATTGGAAATTTTTACACTCTTTTCTTTAAGAAGTGAGAGAACTAGAATAGGTTGATTGATCCAGGTAGCGACAGCCTCCAATCGAAAGGAACCACACGTACGCTAGAAAGTTCATGTATGTAGTAAATTTTCTTGCATTAATATATTTTCATCATTAGGATTTTTTTTATATTAAAGCCCATGTTTTTATTACGCTCTACTTGTAAAGTCCAAGGAGAGTTTGGGCCTTTTCAAAGTTATTTCTCCTTTGACAACACTGTTACAGGGAAAAATATAACTGGGATTAATTACATGAAAGATGTTTATTGAGTGACACCAAAGCAAGAATCCAGAGAACATGTAATGAACTGTCATGGAATGTGTGGGATACTAACATTTAATATGATCCTAAGTCACCCTGCTTTTACCTTAGTATTTTGTCAATTCTATCTAGGATCTGGCTCAATTCATAAACTTGAATAATCTAGAACATGATTTTAGTACCATGAAACACAACTCATGCAAAAGAGTTTTTCCAAACAGGCAATGTCATTACTTTTTCGAAACAAAAAATAGGGATACAAATACAACCTGCCGATGAGACCAAGCATGATAATTCTTTGCATCCTGAGAAAATATTTTCTTGGTGAATTCTAGCTCATTTGTCACAGCATCAACTCCCAGCTTCTCAGCAAGCCACCGTCTATGATGCCTGTAAATTTCTATAATTAAGAATTTCGACCAACGTGTGCATATATACAATTAGATACAAATAAAGAATAACTTATGGAGGAAAAACTTTCTTTTTTCTGTTAATGCTATAATGGAGTCAAGTATAATATGCAGACACATAGGTACTGAAAAGGGTAAAAGAAAGTCATAGGCTAAAAAAACACCTAGCAAATAGACATGGTTAACATGCAAGAGTACATGGGTTGCAAGAATTTGTACAAAAGTGAAAAACATGTGGGCCAACTCAAAATTGAAAAAAACCATTAACACGGGAGGATGGTACTTTCCACAAATTAACTTTCAAAAATATATTTTTTTAAAAACAAAGATCAAATTTAAACTCAACGTTTAGCTTTGAGAAAGAAAACAACTACGAGCCTTGGTTGGCTGACAAAGCGAAACCATATTAAGAGCTAGAGCAGTAAGTCAAGGTCAAGCCAAGCATGATAGCTTAGACCCCGTTCAGCTCAGCATCCAAAGTTTCCAAAGAATGCTCATTTCATCCAAGCACAATGGAACAAGAGAAAAGAGAAAAACACCACTTCCTACGTATCTTTAAAAGATATTGAGGGTGTTTGCATAATCTAATAATGCGGTAAACCCAGCTTATAAGCACTTTTTGGCTTATCTCTAAGTGCTTATAAACCAACATCAACCAAAAATCATAAGTTGAACTCCCAATTTGCGACTTATTAGATTATATAAAGCACTTCTATTTACCAAGTTTTTATAATTTTATCCCTGATATTTTTTATAATTCTTGAAATAGATTTTCGAAACAAAACCCTTTTCAAACAAACAAAGCCCAGCTGTGAATTTTAACACTCACCAAAAGAATCCATACATTTACTCATAATCACTGTTCAATAATGTTTCAAGTGATGCCAAGGCAGTGTACTGACTCAAGGGTATATACAGCTTTCAAGAACCTGAGACCCACAGCAAGATAAGTGAGTTTAATAATCTTTAATAACCAAGATTTCCCTTGTCAATGAGCTTTCCTAGTTCCAATTTTATCTACAAAATTTGGTTTTGGTCTTCCCATGCTGACAATTTGTGCGGGAAAACAGTTTCACTTCACTGAGAGAGTTTACACAGTGATATTTAATCCCATCAGCTTAAAGCAATTCCTCCATGTGATATCCATCAGTCACATGTCAACAAAGTATTTACATTACATCACCTTTACTTTAGCAGAGACCTGTGTGGAATTTTCAACTTACCATATTTGATAATTTTTGGTATTCTCCCCAGCAATGCAATCAACAAACTTCAATTCTTCGTGTAAATCAACACCCAACGCCTCCAGCACAACACGCCTGAATTGCCATACCTAAACATGAAAAATTGACCATTAACTAACAACTCTGTAGTACAATATAGTCTACAAAACAACATCCTAGCCCTCCTCCGACCCCGTACCCCAAGACAACATCCTAGCCCTCTACACATTTTTATACACGAAAATTTCAATTATATACCAAAATAATCCCACTAAACTTCCC